CTCAGAGCCTCTAAATTGACTCTGGGACGGAGTCTGAAGGTCTGTGCACCACAGATGGGCTTGGGACAAAAGGGGGCCRCTGGCTGTCTACCAAGTGACATTTGTGGTGATGCAGAATGATTTTTTCCTTTTTCTTTTATATATTTGTAACCTTYCCAGTACTTTTCCCTACCCTTTTCCCCCCCAAAAAGGGAAAGCTAAAAAGCCAAGCACATTCCAGAGCTCTGAGCCGTGGGGGGTACAAGACACCTTTTCTATCTCGGTTCTTCCTGGAAACCAAGGTCTTCATGACACATTTTCATAAACAGCTRGTACCAGGGGTGGAGTACTCCAGAGAAGGGAATTGACCTGGAGGGAATTACATCACCACTTGTGCTCCTAACTGGTGCTTTTTATCAATTAAGCTAATTTCCTAAAACCTATAAAACTATATTCACCCCTGTGGGGTTGGGCTTTTGTGAATACTCTTCCATGACTGCCACTGTAGCACCAATAAAGACCAACTTTTATATTCYCTCCTATACTAAAATCATCCCGAGTTTCATTCCTATGTTAAAAAAGGCAACAGTGGACCCTCAAAAACACCTCTGTTATTAATCCTGCTGTGTTTTCTGTTGGCCTCCAATGTAGAAAGTACTCCAGGACATGACTGGCTACAAACAATTGAAGAAGTTTATTGTAGCCCAGCTGGATCAGGACAGCCTGACAGGAGAACTCRGATTAAGAACTATAAATAGATGGAAGTGGCTTTGTTTGCAATGGAAAACGCATTTCAGGATATGCAGTAASCACCCCAAACAAGTAATGGAATCTGAAGCTCCAGCGTCAGGTGYTCCAGCACAGAAAGCTGAAGGGGTTGCTCTCACCTGGGCATTGGAACTGAGCAAACAAAGAAAGTAAATATCTGGAGGCTGGGCACGCCTACAGAGCAATCTGGAGAGAGGTTTGTTATCAGGACAAGGTACATCAATCAAACATGGGAATGCATGTTACACTTGTGGGAAGCTGTACAGAAGTCAGCAGGATTTGTAATTACGCTCTGTAGAACACACCAGACAAATAGAACAGGGCCAAAGTGCAGAAATGACTTGGCTGACAAAGCAGATAAGGAGGCTGCAGAAAAAGGCATCCACATTTTGATTCCAAAATGGAAGATCAGTCTGGTATTAATATATAATAATATAAATAATAATGATAATGATAATGATAATGATAATGATAATGATAATGATAATGATAATGATAATGACAATGATAGTGTGTTATAATATTAATATCTAGTATTCTGGTATTAAACCAGAATATGATGCAAAAGATTGCCAGTACATTCAGGCATTTTATTGTGGATTTCACCCYAGTGATGGATGAGCAGGTGACTGTTCCCGAGGAAATTATGAGAGAAAGAGTGAAAAGAAAGCACCAGTTTACTCATTGGAGAACAGTAAAACYGTAAAATCACTTCAGAAGGACAGGAATTAGCTCCAAGATGCCTGAAACTATACATTCAAAG